GAGAGGAAGAGAGGCAGGCAGGCAGGCACTCAGGGGAGAGGCAGGTGGATGGGTAGCTAGGGTATTAGTATGACAGGCTGGGGTTTGAGGTGTCATGCCAACTGGCTGGCCAGGATGAGGCTTTATTGTGATATATTGCCCCCCAGGCGAGTGTCTCACTTTGAGAAGCTGAGAGAGGGAAGGAGGAGAAGGATGAGAAGGGGTTAAGGAAGGAATATGCGATGATGGAATAGGAGGAGGGAGGGTAAAACAGGTGAAACGAGTTAGGGAATGAAGGGATGGGTATAATGTGGGAGATAGCATGGAAGCTGTAAAACGAATCATTGAATGAAGTAAATTTGTAAATAGATAAGGAGTGTGAGTTAAGAATTAATGAGGAAGGGACGTGGGTGAGGTGAAGTGAGGGAGTGACTGCAGTATGAAAGGAGTAAAGGAAGGAAGAGAGGTCAAAGAGAATAGCGAAATGTTAGGCACATATTTAACACTTTAGTGCACAAGTAGATAATAATCGCCATTCCCCCTGTTAAAGCATCTCCCCTTCTCTTGTCTCACCCCAGACAACACCCAGCTACCTGTCGTATCCCCGTCAACGGTCCCACTGGAATCTAGGGTCTTCTAGATTCATCTTCTAGAGCCTTCTTTAACTTCATCTCATTATTGAAACTGTTTCACTTTTATTTTCATAAATCATCACATCCAGACTAACAAAGAGACACTCCAAAGCAAACAAATAGTTACATGTAATACAACATGAACTAGGAAACACGTGCTAACGTAATATATGCACATATAAGATAATATACAAAGCATAACATACACGAAACAGCAACTCAAGAGATCAGAAGCGCACTAAAATGACACACACGAACTTACAAAACACTTCACACGCGCTCGCGCGCACACACCACACACACACACACACACACACACACACACACACCTGATGCCCATAGTCATAGATTTAAACTAGCTTAACACAGATGCCGAAGAAATATAAGAAAATTCACTTTCGCAAACAGAGTGGTAGATGGTTGGAACAAGTTAGGGGAGAAGGTGGTGGAGGCCAAGACCGTCAGTAGTTTCAAAGCGTTATATGACAAAGAATATTGGGAAGACGGAACACCACGAGCGTAGCTCTCATCCTGTAACTACACTTAGGTAATTACACTTAGGTAATTGCACACACACACACACACACACTACCCTACACTGGCAAAAGTTAGAACATCATTCAGAAACCTAAGTAAGGAGGCATTTAGGGCGCTTTACACTGCCTACGTGAGGCTAGTCTTAGAGTATGCCGCCTCATCATGGAATCTGAAGAATCATCTGAAGAAGCATATAAGGAAACTGGAAAAGGTTCAGAGGTTTGCAACGAGACTCGTCCCAGAGTTACGAGGGATAGGGTATGAGGAGCGCCTGAAGGAACTGTGCCTTACAACACTAGAACAAAATTAAGGGAGAAAAGGGGACATGATAGGAATGTATAAAATGTTCAGGGTGATTGACAGAGTGGACAGAGACGAAATGTTCACACGGAATAGTTAAAGAACGAGAGGACATGGGTGGAAGCTGGAAACTCAGATGAGTCACAGAGATGTTAGGAAGTTTTCTTTTAGCGTGAGAGTAGTGGGGAAATGGAATGCAATTAAGGAACAGGTTGTGGAAGCAAATACTATTCATAATTTTAAAATTAGGTATGATAGGGAAATAGAACCGGAGTCATTGCTGTAAATATCTGATGCTCGAAAGGCGGGATCCAAGAGTCAATGCTCGATCCTGCAGACACAAATAGGTGAGAACACGCACGCACACACACACACACACACGCACACACACACACACACACACACACACACACACACACACACACACACACACACACATACACACACACACACACACACACACACACACACACACACACACACACATACATACACACAGCGGAAGCGGGGCCCTGATAGCTGAGTGAACAGCGCTTTGGACTCGTAATCCTAGGGACACGGTTCGATCCCCGGTGATGGCAGAAACAAAATGGACAGAGTTTCTTTCACCCTGATGCCCATGTTACCTAGCAGTAAATAGTTACCTGGGAGTTAGACAACTGTTACGGGCTGCTTCCTGGAGTGTGTGTGTGTGTGTGTGTGTGTAGAAAGAACATCAAATGATTGATTGACAATTGAGAGGCGGGCCGAAAGAGCAGAGCTCAACCCCCGCAAGCACAACTAGGTGAGGTGAATACAACTAGGTGAATACACACACGCACCTAGTTGTATTCAAAGGTGAATACAACTAGGTGAATACACACACGCACAGTTTATTTAGATCACCATTTAAATAGCCCTCTTCCATTTATATTCAAAATAACCATCCCATAAAAAAAGGAAAATAAATAATAGAGTAAAAGAAATATATATAAATACTTGATGGTTGGAATTCACAAACATTTAACTCATTAGTTAGCGACTATTTTTAACCTACCATTTTTGCCATTAAATCAACAAATCTCGTCATAATATCTGAGAATTTGACATTAGTATCACTGAATTGTCAAAATGATATGTATTATTTTCATAGAATCAAGAGAATTATTCTGTATTATCGAAGAATAATATTAGTATTGCTATAATAGCTCAAGAATAGAATTAGTATAGTTCTAATAGATGAAGAATTAAATTAGTATAATTCTAATAGATCAAGAATATAATTAGTATAGTTCTAATAGATCATGACTAAAATTAGTATAGATCTAATAGATCAAGAATACAATTAGTATAGTTCTAATAGATCATGACTAGAATTAATATAGATCTAATAGATCAAGAATAGAATTAGTATAGATGTAATAGATCAAGAATAGAATTAGTATAGATCTAATAGAACAAGACTAGAATTAGTATAGTTCTAATAGGTCAAGACTAGAATTAGTAAAGTTCTAATAGATCAAGACTAGAATTAATATAGTTCTAACGTAACAAACGTATTATTTGATACTAGGTTATTGCCATTAGAAGTATACCATACTAGTAGGCAAGATTCCACCCCCAGCAGCAGGGAAATGTTAGAGGCAATGTCAAGGAAGTTCTGGGAGACCTCCGTTGACATCCGTTGTGTCGGCCTCCGGCGCCTTCCTGCAAGTTTTAAAAGGTGTCCCTGTTGTGCCTTGTCCCTCTCGAGGCCCTTTGGCAGTGACTGTGTACCTGGGTGGCTGTCGGGCAGTGACTGTGTACCTGGGTGGCTGTCAGGCAGTGACTGTGTACCTGGGTGGCTGTCGGGCAGTGACTGTGTACCTGGGTGGCTGTCAGGCAGTGACTGTGTACCTGGGTGGCTGTCGGGCAGTGATTGTGTACCTGGGTGGCTGTCAGGCAGTGATTGTGTACCTGGGTGGCTGTCAGGCAGTGATTGTGTACCTGGGTGGCTGTCAGGCAGTGACTGTGTACCTGGGTGGCTGTCGGGCAGTGACTGTGTACCTGGGTGGCTGTCAGGCAGTGACTGTGTACCTGGGTGGCTGTCAGGCAGTGATTGTGTACCTGGGTGGTTGTCAAGCAGTGACTGTGTACCTGGGTGGTTGTCGGGCAGTGACTGTGTACCTGGGTGGCTGTCGGGCAGTGACTGTGTACCTGGGTGGCTGTCAGGCAGTGACTGTGTACCTGGGTGGCTGTCAGGCAGTGATTGTGTACCTGGGTGGCTGTCAGGCAGTGATTGTGTACCTGGGTGGCTGTCAGGCAGTGATTGTGTACCTGGGTGGTTGTCGGGCAGTGACTGTGTACCTGGGTGGCTGTCAGGCAGTGATTGTGTACCTGGGTGGTTGTCGGGCAGTGACTGTGTACCTGGGTGGCTGTCAGGCAGTGACTGTGTACCTGGGTGGCTGTCAGGCAGTGACTGTGTACCTGGGTGGCTGTCAGGCAGTGACTGTGTACCTGGGTGGTTGTCAGGCAGTGACTGTGTACCTGGGTGGCTGTCAGGCAGTGATTGTGTACCTGGGTGGCTGTCAGACAGTGATTGTGTACCTGGGTGGCTAGCCGACAGTGACTGTACATCTTTCTGTCCAGCATTCAGTGAAGGTGAGAGAGAGATGTTTGTTGTGTTTGTTATGGTCACACACAAACATACACATACACACACACACACACACACACACACACACACACACACACACACACACACACACACACACACACTATCACTAACACCACCTCGACCTTCACCACTACCAATGACCACACCTACCACCGTCCTCAACAGCAGCACCATATTACTATAACCATCACATAACTACTCTCACCACCACTACCACAAATTCCTCCAACACAATCATTGCAAATGCAATAACATGCAAATCAAGTACTATTGCAACCACTTCAGTAACAATCATTTTTACCGTTACCACATCTTCACTGCTGCTCAATAGAAATCATTACCATAGTTATCACCAGTGTTGATAACTCCATTCACTGTTATCACCACCAACACACGAGTACTCACCATCATCATAGCTGAAACCACCACCACCATCATAACAACTGCTACCATCACAAATACAACCGCAACCACCTCTATTACAACCACCTCTACCACCGTTAAAACTGTAACCATCACAACAATCACAATCACAGCCACCACCGCCACCATCATAACTACAACACCACAACCACCAACACCACCATCATTATTTTTTTTTACCAAAATTCCAATCCTTACTACCTTCATCAAAACTGCTTCCACCATGACCACCACTACCACAACAACAGCCACCACCAACAACACAACTAACACTACTTAAGTCAACAGACCATCTAACTGACCTCAGAAAATATAGCATTAACACGAACGTTAAAATATCAGTTTCATCAAACATAAATATAATTCCAAATCATATAAGAATGCAAATGAATGACACAGAAGAAGCTGAGAAAACGAGCCATAAACAGGAAGCATGACGACACTAACTTACCACAGTGTCCATTTCTGATTACGAACATAAACAGAGTGAACCATTCTACATCCAGTGACCACAGCACAGCTGATGCATAGACAGGACCTACGAGATAGTGGAAGAAATCAATACCAAATTAACTACTTTTCTTGCTGACAAGACATGTTGGAGGAACAGAGGTAGACACGCACTGCAATCTTGAACACAATCTTGAACATGGGGAAATAGAGTTTCAAGGTTCAAGAATGAACCCGTCATGGGTGTGGAGGAAGACCTGACTGCACAGGAATATTATCTACCGCAATGCATATCAGACATCCCTTAAGCCCCGGCTACAGAGGAGCTATAAACGCACCGGATACACCCATACTGAACCCAACACACGCGTCATAAACCTTCATCCGGCTCTAAAGTAATGCATACATTAGTAGCACAGAGTGGGCCAGCCAGAGGTCCAGGGCTCGCTTGGGAATATCACATACAAAAATAATCCTCATCCTACCACCACTACAGCAACTGATATCACTAACACCATTCAATTTATTATTATGACCACCTCTCCTCTACCCCCACCAATTATAATTATCTGGTTAGGTTGGGTTCTTCAGTTACATTTTCGATTAAATAGAATGTATTTTTTGGCGATTTATTAATACAAAACGTGAACTTCTAGGGGTCCGCTAGTATATATTGATCCGTTTGACCAAAGAATTGATATAAGTGCTATTATTTTATTAGAATGGGCTGAAATTATCATTGTCAGCACCACCATCACTGACACCATCAACAGCCCCCATCACCACTATCACTACCATAACCACAACCACTTTCATTACCACCACTGAAACATCGACCACCACTTCCTCAACTGCCAAGCCACCACCACCACTCCTCAAGCTTCCATCACAAAAATTAAAATATGCGGAGGTAAGCAGACAAGACTATTGCTAGAAATAGGAGGTTAAGCTTCGAGAATAAGTTAAGAAAGCTGAGACTTACAACCGAATGGAAGAGAAGAACCAGAGGTGCTATGACGACAACATACAAGATAGTAAGGGGAACACACAAGGTGAACTAGAACAGGCTTTTTTAATTGAGAGAAAGTAGCGCTGGAGAATATAAGTGGATGTTTGAAACTGGACTCGGTCGTGGAAATATAAGGAAATACTCGTATCTTGTTCGAGAGGTCAACAATTAGAATGCACGAAAAAAATAAGTTTTCAGAAGTCACTTTAAGGCTTGATTCGACAAACAATTCAAACGACAGAATAAATAAAAATAACAGGAAAAAGAAGGCTAGTAAACGGGGCATAAGGAGCTAGAACTCCCCTTTCCGTTGTCACTGATTGGTAAACAATTATATTACCACTACCGCCATCACTGCCCAACCACTTTAACCATCTGCACATCACAACCACCACCACCACTTGCGCAACAGCATTTCCCCCACAACTTCCACCACCATCACCACCACCACCAATTGGACCACATTATCTTCATTACCCCATTCCCTTGATTTATCCACTCTCTCTGTCCGTCATACCAGTCCTCTCCTCCAACCTCGGCCGTTCTCGGCGTTCAGGAACGGACCTTCAGGGAATAAGAATCCAGGAATCTGGGAATTCGCAACTTGCCTGATCGACGTCAGCCGAGTTAATGGCTGCCTTCTTAACTTTGATGCTTCTCTGAGATTTTTCGCTATCTCGTTTCTGATATCTCTTTCTCTGAGGGGCAGTTTTGTTTGTTACAATTCTTGTTATATATTCCAGGGGTTATTGTGTCTTGTAATATTGTTTCAATTGATTATATATATTTTAGGGGGAATGGGGATTATATATATATATATATATATATATATATATATATATATATATATATATATATATATATATATATATATATATATATGTCGTACCTAGGAGCCAGAACGCACTTCTCAGCCTACTATGCTAGGACCGATTTGCCTAATAGGCCGAGTGATTTTCTTTATTTTCAATAAATTGTTTCCTATTAGTTTATTTTAAATATTATTATTATATTATATTAAGAATATAAATTATTGATTTAGTTATGTTAGTTTAGGTTAGATTAAGATAGGTTAGGATAGGTTAAGTGGGGTTGGTTAGGTTCGGTCATATATCTACATTAGTTTTAACTCAAATTAAAAAAAAAATTAGCTCATACAAAATTAAATGAATAGCTTTATTATTTAAACAATATTAAAATTACGGAAAACTTGGCTTATTAGGCAAATCGGGGTATGCATAGTAGGCAAAGAACTGCCTTCTGGCTACTAGGTACAATATTATACATATATACATATATATATACATATATATATATATATATATATATATATATATATATATATATATATATATATATATTAGTTATATTACTATATTTTGATAGCATCCATTCTTTTAAACATATTTCGTTGAAAACGACAAAAAATTTTATGTATGATTCTTGCACAAATCTTCTCGATATTTCTTTTGTTTTTCTTCACTGAAGCAGGAAGTTAAAAAATTAACTCTCCGAAGCTCATTTTTAGACTTTATATTTGGCCTGACGCCTAGTGATGCGTTTTGCAAGATAACTCCTTACATTCTCAAAGAAAAATTTAACGTGCTTAGCGCCTGGATTTTATTCTCTTATGGTGAGGTGGTTAGGCAACATATTGATGAATAGGTACCATATGGATGAATAGGTAACAGATGGATGAATGTCATTACATTCAATACTAGCTTATGTTCTTCAGCCTGCTTTCGTTCCTGTGGCAGGGTCATTTGGTTCTGCCTCTGCGTTGGTCCGGGGTCTTGAAGTGAGTAGAGCGTAATTGTGTATTAACTGGTTGTATATTGCTGGTCTAGATTTCTTGATATGCAGCGCCTCACTGATGTCTAATCTTCTATTGTCATTGTATCTAATAATTTTTTCGGTGCAGCTCGTCAAAATATCCCTGGTGATCGTCTGCTTGTGTGTGGCGATTATGTGTTCTTTGATGGAGCCCTGTAGTTTGTGAATTGTTAATCGCACAATGCATCGATCAGAGTCAATTATCAAAGCTACAAATCATCTCTAGGCATCAAAGAAACATGTTGCGAGGAGCAGCTGTATATACGTCCATGCAATGATCACATTTGTGGCCTCCTCCACTATTACTAGGCTTGTACTCATCAGTGAAACAGACACGCTTATGAAACTGTCTCGGATTAAGTGAAATCTGGACGTTGCTTACCGTAGAATTATATAACAAATATCTACTATTGCAGTTGGCATGGGGTACCTGGAGCTCTGCAATTACTTTATTCACTCTCGTATTCTTGAAGATATCCTCACAGTGTACCCAAAATTTGTCAGTGCCGGCTACTAAACATATAGCCCTGTATGACTAACTATCCTGCGAGATGGGGACTTGTATTACCACTGCTACCTTATTCAATCTTGTGTTGATGATATCCTCAAAATGCATCCGGAGTCTGCCAGTGCAGACTGCTTATCACATGCCTCTGTATGACTAACCATCCTGTGTGATGGGGATTTTTTAGCATCACGTAGTTAGCTTTTTTTTTGACACACTGTACTCCACTTCATATAGTCTAGGGTAGCTGCACTAATGAAGATATACCTCATATTTTAATAAAAAAAAAAATTGCATGTATTAATAAAAAAAATTGCACTATTTAATCCTTCATATATTATAGTCTAAGGTAGATACTTTTGAATCTAAGTAGTTAAGTATATTTATAAAAATATAAAAAATTGAAATTCTTCCGAATTAATAAATGTACTTGAGTTAGTGTTTGTAAAAGTACCAGAATTTGTAATAGTACCTTTGCTTGTATTTACACTTATGACACTTATGCTTGAAAAGTAATTGTACTCTCACTCTCACTGTTTCTCTCTCACTCTCCCTCTCACTCTCACTATTTCTCCCTCTCTCTCTCTCACTCTTGATCTCTAGGACTTTCCCGCTCTCTCTCTCTTACTCTCTCACGTTCTCACTCTCTCTCTCTCGTTCTCACTCTCTCTCGTTTTCACTCTCTCTCTCTCTCTCCTCTCTTTTTTTTCTTCTTCTTCTTC